CTGATTTTACAGCCTTGATTTGTTCCAGAATATGTAATGCAAGAAATTGCAAAAGCTGGCTTTACTGAACCTACACCCATTCAATCTCAAGGTTGGCCAATGGCATTGAAGGGACGTGATCTGATAGGAATTGCAGAAACAGGATCAGGGAAGACACTTGCTTACTTGTTGCCTGCCATTGTTCATGTTAATGCTCAGCCAATTCTAGGTAAGGAAATAAGGAAACAACTGATACGATTAGATTTCATATTGGATGTAAGGGTGCCTTTTTTTTTTTTCCGTCTTTGCTACCTTTGTTTTGCTGTCCATTCATTTATAATATTTTCAGATCATGGAGATGGACCAATTGTGTTAATTTTGGCTCCAACTCGTGAACTTGCTGTGCAAATACAACAAGAGGCTACTAAATTTGGTGCGTCATCTAGGATTAAGAGTACATGCATCTATGGTGGGGTTCCAAAGGGACCTCAGGTGCGTGATCTCCAGAAAGGTATGTGTTGAAGCATTCAAAGCCTGGCTTTGGTTAAATAACTTATGGACTGATTGATGCCCCTTTGTACAGTTTTTCTTTTCACTTTTCATAATCACTTTTATTTTGATTTTGTTAATTTTGTGATTAGGTGTTGAAATTGTAATTGCCACTCCTGGGAGGTTAATTGATATGCTCGAGTCAAATCATACTAACTTGCAGAGGGTCACATACCTTGTGTTGGATGAAGCTGATAGGATGTTGGATATGGGGTTTGATCCTCAGCTTCGGAAGATTGTCTCTCAGGTTAACTTTATTTTATATGGTCAATATTTTGAAATAGTAAAATTTCAATGAATGGAGTAATATTTTGAAATAGTATTTTTTTGTCATATTGCTCTTCTTGATGCTTCATTCTCTATTATGAGTAATGTTCTAGCTATGTTGCTTTATTTATTTTATTTTTTTACATTTTTTTATTTTGATTTTCAATCCCATTAACAATGACATTTTCCTTTTTTGTACCGTAATTATTGTACTAGCTTCACCTACTAATTAATCCAAATTGATTTAGACTTAGAAAAGACATTGCTGAAGCTGCAGACTATAATTTCTTTATTCTTCTGGCCATCTGATCACTTTTTGGTTTTTGTTTTACTTAGATTCGTCCGGACCGTCAGACTTTGTATTGGAGTGCTACCTGGCCAAAGGAGGTTGAACAATTGGCAAGAAAGTTTCTTTATAACCCATACAAAGTAAGATATTTCCTTGTTGGGATATGTAATTGTATTTATTTCCTTTTAAAGTTCATTCCTCTATGTTGAAATGGTTCAGAGATAAATTATCTTTTGAGAAAAATGTGTGATTTTGTTTATGTATAGCAGCATTGTATTTTTTGAGAACTTTATTTGTAATTGAAATAAGAATTTCTGCAATCACTGCAGGTAATTATAGGTTCTTCAGATTTAAAAGCTAACCATGCAATACGGCAATATGTTGACATTGTTTCGGAAAAGCAGAAATATGATAAGTAAGATGTTTTCTACCTTATTTTCATTCTTGTTGGATTTTTCACATAGGGCCACCTAATATAATCTTCCTATCTGTCAGACTGGTGAAGTTGCTAGAGGACATCATGGATGGCAGTCGAATACTGATATTTATGGATACCAAAAAAGGATGTGATCAGATCACTCGGCAGCTCCGCATGGATGGCTGGCCTGCACTCTCAATTCACGGAGATAAAAGTCAAGCAGAAAGGGATTGGGTGCTCTCAGAATTTAAATCGGGCAAAAGTCCTATTATGACCGCAACAGATGTTGCAGCTCGTGGATTAGGTGCAAAAACCTTTTCTTTACTTAATTATTTGGCATATATTCTTATTCACTGAATTGAAAATGTAGTGTTGTAGTTATAGTTATGGAAATATTCAGTGCTTATATATATTTTTTGAAATATTAATATTAAGTTATTGTTATCCTGATTGCCTTCAATCCTGTATATTAAGTAACTTTTTACTAAATATTTTTATCTACTTTTTTCTGGCCTTTGATTACTAGTTAGATTTTTGCATGAATTATTTGCCCTTTTTAACTTGAAAGTGCCCAACTGCTGCTAGAGGTGGATCTCTTCATTATTAAGTCTTAGCTTTTTTGTTGTAACAAAAGACCAAAGTTTTTTTTTTTGACCGATGACTTCCACTCTACTTTGTCACTTATTAAAGATTAAAGATTAAAGATAACCAGTAGCTTTGCATATGTATCTTAATCCTTTCTACTATTTGATTACTGTCAGATGTGAAGGATGTGAAGTATGTGATAAATTATGACTTCCCGGGGTCACTTGAGGACTATGTTCATCGCATTGGCCGGACTGGGAGAGCTGGTGCAAAAGGAACTGCATACACATTCTTCACAGCTGCTAATGCCAGATTTGCAAAGGAACTTATAGCCATACTTGAGGAAGCTGGACAGAAAGTTAGTCCTGAACTAGCAGCAATGGGACGTGGTGCACCACCTCCACCTTCGGGTTAGTTAACCTGACCCAAGTATAATATGCACTTACAATATACATATAATGTTTTGGTTCCCTAGCTCTTCTTTGATTGTAGATGTAGTTGTGAAGGGTGTACTTGATTGCTAGGGGCTTACGCGTATAATCTGATACACTCACCTAGCAGAATCAATGGACAATACCAAAAGAATAACATTCACATATCATTGTGTTTGATTAGTTTTGCGAGGGGTTTGCTTTGTTACTGTATTGGTGTATTTGATTCCTATGGATGGCAGTCTACTTTTGAACTCATTTTGGATGGAGTTACTTTTCTAGCATCTTTGTGGTGTTCTGCTATTGGTCTTTTCAGGGGCGGTCTTTGATAGATCTTCAGAGATTGGCACGCTTATCCTCTACTTTTTTATTTTTTATTTTTTTATCTGTCATCTTTCTTGATGAATTCTGTATAAAAATAAAAAAATTCTAACTTCAAAAATTGATTAATCTTTCATGTAGAACTATGACCACTGGTCAACGTTTTTATCTTGTCATTTTATTGTCCGTGGAATCTGGGGCTTTAGTCAAAATTGCAACATACTGCAATTATACTAGTTTGCCATGTTTGTTGCACCCTTTTGGTTTTCTGAAATTCTCCTTTATTCTTGTGAACAATGAATTAGGTCCCCGAGGTTTCCAAGACCGTGGGAGGGGTTATGGCAGTTCTCGTCCATGGAGCTAATTGATGAATAAACTTGATTGACGGTGGAAATCCCGATAATCATGCCCTTTATGTTACTACTGACGTTTTATATAGTCTCGCTAATTACTGTAAACTTGTAAGAGTAGTAATAGTAATTCCGTATTGTTCTAAAATTTATTTTGTTCAAATGTCCATAGATCATGTACGATCAGACAAGTGTTCATAAGTTATATAGTTCATACCACAACAATTCATTTTGCAGAAAACAAGAGTAGTGTATATTATTTGAGTTAATCACTTATATACTGTTAGTTTAAAGTTCTTTTACACTGGCAACCAATTATATCTTTTAATAGTGTCATGTCATTTGCTTATTTAATCAAATAAAAATAAAAAAATAATTTAAAAGATATGATTGACTACCAGTGTAAAAGTGTATAAATGATTATCTCATATTATTTTGCATTATTGTTATTTTTTCTTATTATTGTTATACTTGGTTTAGAGGTTTTACACATGGAATATTTATTTATTTATTCTTTATTTTGCATTGTCATTGGTACTCGGAAATTGAAGACTTTTTTTTTAAAGATATGAAAAATTTCAAAGATAGTCGTAATAATAATTAAATTTTGATTTTCATACTTTTAACTATCTCATTCCTTCCTCACCTAATCACTAGATTAACCTTAGTAATTGGAAATTGAAGACTTTATTTGAGAAAATATTTTTTTGTTTTTTACTTCAATTTTTAAAATTATCTTATTTTCTATTTGTAAATAGTTATATGAGAAATAGTAAATAAATAAATAAATAATTATCTAAAATCATTTTAAAAAATACAAAAAAAAATGCTTTATACTTAAAAATAAAATATTCTCTTTATGTATAAATTAGAATACATGATTTGGAACATAATGAAGATTTTACTCTTCATTTTTTAAATTAGACATTTATAATGTTATTTTTCCTTTTTAAAATGTGCATTTCACATGTCGTGTAATTAATTAATCATGATATTTGTTTTAATCACTCCAAATTAACCTTTTTATTATATTTTTAATTTTTAATCATTATATATATATATATATATATATATTTTTTTTATATATGT